CGTCTGGCTTTCATAACAGGATGCAGGATAATACTGAGGCACTGGAAGTCATCCAGCCCCTGTTCTCTCAGGGAATGGACTGAACAAATGTCTAAGATGGCCATCCACAGTCTCTGTTTTTTTGAAAGGATATTATTGTCAGGTAACAGGCCCAGGACACATACAGCTGGAGATTTAGAAAGATTGAGTTTAAAAATATCATTCACCAAGTTAATGATCCCATCCCACAAATAATCTTTTTTCCGACATGTGTCCCGGCTTCCTCCTGACATTTCCAACAGGTGTCATTATCCACAAGCTTCAGCCTGACTAATTTACTGGGAGTCCAGTAATTTCTGTGAAGAAACTTGTACTGGATAAGTTGAGACTGTGTTTCAGGTGAGCAAACATACCAAGATGAAACCAGCGTCTTCCAACTGTCCTCTAAAATCTGGATACCCAGATCCTTCTCCCAACACTGCCTCAGTCCCCCAAATTGGGAGAGTGTGCCTCTCTGAAGATCCCATAGAATTTGGATGCCCTGATTCTATTAATGCCAGGGATTGCAAACATCTTCTGAATACTAGATGGAGGGTCTGGATTATTATTCAAAATGGTTTTAATACAGTGTCTTATTTGAAAAAACCTCCAAATTTCCCTTGGATCCAGAAAGCATAATGATACCAGACCATCTTGGACAATGCCAACCCACCACTCTCTTTAGCAGCATATAATTTGGACCGATTAAAAGATGGCTTTTTGCCTGCCCACACAAAACCCTCCACACATGCATTATAAAGCTTTAGCAAGTTATGTGGGACTGCTATTGGTAACATGTGAAGAAAGTACTGAAGTTTAGGGGAAATAATCATCTTCACCAAATTAATTCTGCCCAAAAGGGACAGATTTATTTTAACCCAATTCTGCAACAGCGGACGAATGTTTTGAATCACTGGGGAGATGTTTACTTGCATTATGTTGTCTAAACCAGGGGTCAGTTTAATCCCTAAGTAAGTCAAATCCTCGGGCATCCACTTGAAATGCCATGAGCTCCTCATAACTGGCGGACACAATTTAGAAATGGGCATAACTTCCGACTTAGACCAATTTATGGTGTAGCCAGAGATTACAGAAAAGGGATCAATAATTGAGGAAATTGCAGGAACGGCCTGTTCTGGGTTACTTGAGATCAGTAAAATGTCACCTGCATACAAAAAAGTTTTATGTTCTTCTTGACCCATATCCACCCCTCTGATTTTCTTACATTCACGTAATGCAATAGCCAAAGGCTCCAGAAACAGGGCAAAAATGAGAGGTGATAAGGGTGAACCTTGTCTAGTACCACGACTTAACGAAAAGGAGGGTGACATTATCCCATTGGTAATAACTAGCCATTGGATCTGTGTATACCACCTGAATCCACTGCCTAAAAAAGGGACCAAAACCGAATCTCTTCAACATATAAAACAGAAAGGGATACTCAACTTTATCGAAGGCCTTCTCTGCATCTGAGGAGAACGCGACGACAGGGTCTAAATTAGTCCTGCTCTTCCAGAATATGTGCAATAACCTACGTAGATTATCTGCAGAACTTCTGTTTTTCACAAAACCGACCTGATCCCTATGCACCAAATACGGAAGAACTTTCTCAAGCCTAAAAGCTAGTATCTTAGAAATAATTTTTTCGTCCACATTAATTAATGAAATTGGGCGATAATTCCCACAATACTGTGGGTCTTTCCCTTTTTTATGTAATAACGTGATCACTGCCGATCGCATACTAAATGGTAGTCTCCCTCTTTGAAACGCATCTTGATATACCGACAGTAGTCTTGGAGCTAATTCGCCCACGAACACCTTATAAAAATCTGATGGAAATCCATCGTTGCCTGGAGATTTGCCCAATCTAAGACTGCCAATTGCCTGCTTAACTTCAATTAGTGTAATCTTACCTTCTAATACAGTTCTTTGATCTTCAGACAGGCTGGGAATTTTAATAGAAGAGAAGAAATCTGACAGCCTCTGTTCCTCCACCAATCCATTAGAGGTGTAAAGCTCCTGATAAAATTTAGTAAAAGTATCATTAATTTCTTTTTTACTGGTGGTCAACTTATTATTATTACTAGGAACAAAAATAGATGGTATAAGGTTGCTAGATTTTATCTGCTTAACCCTGTGTGAGATTATAATATTATTTTATGCCATGTTATACCCCTAATTAAAGATTGTGAATTATTATGTAGTCTTAGTTTGCATTATTCTCCTGAATTAGAAGAAGGTGATAACTATTGCATTTGTTAAACTGATTTGCATTACATTAGACTGCTGATTTATTGTGAATGAATGATATTGTTATATGATGCATTATACTGTTGCTTGTGAAGCTCGCACACAAGAATTTCACTCACATGTGCTGTACTAATGTACCTGCACATGTGATGTGACAATAAAAGTGATTTGATTTGATTTGATTTATAAGAAATACTGTTCGCAGAAAGTCATCGCCTTATTTGTCTGATTAGAAGAGAACAGAACATACTGGAGTTTTCTGCCCCATCTCAGCAGGAGCAGATAAACAGGGAGCCAAGGTCGTAGCTTAGGCGCTGTGTGAGAGAAAGAATGTGAATGTTTAGGCTTTTATGATTAGGTGGGGGCCACTAGAGGCTATAAGAGTTTGATCAATGCTCCACCATTTTGAGATCTGATGCTGTCTGCGTACGGTGTCCATCTCCCACGCGTGTGATCATTAAAATCATCGTTTGACTCAACCCGGCCGGACCAGTGTTGTTATTGTGGTTTTTCCTCTTGTATCCATCCCCAATATTTGAATCCGTAACACCTGCGTACCAACATTTTACCTGTTCTCTCCCCTTGTTCAAAATACTTCTGATTTAGACAAAACATTGCATATTCCGCTTTTTTCTCCAGTATACTATTCATCTCAAATTTAAATTTAATTAATTTGTTCCATAAATCCCTCTCTGGGTGCAGCATGTGTTGTTTTTCAAGCTCCTTGATATCCTGTTCCAGCTTCATCAGCTTGTCCCTCTCAGCTTTTTTAATCAAGGAGCCATACTGGATAAGGCGCCCCCTCAAATAGGCCTTAAAAGCGTCCCAGGTCATTCCAACGTCGTCAATAGAGCCCTCATTGTGCAACCAAAACTCCTTTATCATTTCCCTTATACATTCACAATGACCCTTATTCTTCAATAATGAGTTATTCAAACACCACCTAGGTGACGGTTTAATATTATCAGTACCAGAAAGAACAAGGTCAATGGGAGCATGATCCGAAACAGCAATATTACCAATAGAGGACCCAATAGTTTGACTTGCCAGAGAACGGGACACCAAGAAGTAGTCTATCCTGGAGTAGGTTTAGTGAGGATGCGAAAAAAAAGTATAATCTCTTTCTTGAGGATGAAGAAGTCTCCATATATCTACCAGGCTCAATTCCTCTGACATCACGTCCACCGCAACATTAACTGGGTCCTTACTTAGTCCAGTACGAGAGGATTTATCCAACAATACATCCTTGACCTGGTTAAAATCTCCCCCAATTACAATATTTGTATTACCTATAGTCCGCACCATGTTACATACTTCATGAAAGAATTGTGGCTGAGGAGAATTGGGAGCATATATGTTGACCAATGTCATTTTCCGCCCCTGTAAACATGCATCCAAAACCACCCATCTACCCTCCTGATCTGTATAATGCTTAAAAACCTGAAAATCCAAGTTTCTTCTGATCAATATGACCACCCCTCTTTTTCTAGCCGAAAATGCACTAAAATAAACTTGCGCCACCCAGTCTCTTTTAAGCTTTAATGATTCCGCCTCATCGAGATGGGTCTCCTGAATCAGGGAGTCTGTCTGTCTTTTTCTGCTTCAAGTATGTGAGGATTTTCTTCCTTTTAATAACATTATGACAACCCGCTATATTCCACGACACTATTTTACATAACTCCATAACACCACGCGAGCCAAATTATTGTACAGATTTATCCAGTAGAACATCCCATTTAGCCATATAACAAATCTGAAAGCCAGTTACATGAGACAACCCAGTGGTCCAAAAAACAGGTCTATACAGGACAGTTGGCACCATACCATCAAAACGAACAACAAAACAAAACACAGTTGAAAAAAAAGAAAAACAAAACAAAACCATGAAATCGTTGGTCCGTGGCACTCAAAAATCCCATAATGGCGTCCCTCCTCACGTCCGCCCCCCCCAAAAAAAAAAAAAAAACAAAGTAAAGAAGTGAACTAACCCATAGCTTATAAAATCCTCTTAATCTACATCACCCGGAATGTTAGCCGAATCGAGGCCGCTTAGAAATTGCTTAGCCTCTGCTGGGTTGGAAAACTGATGATACTGGTTATCCACTGAAAAAGTCACAACAGCCGGAAAGCGAAGGGAATAGCCAATATTGCACTGTTGCAGCAAGCGACGCACCTCATCAAACTTCCGGCGTTTTTCTTGTACCTCCTGTGCATAATCCTGGAAAAAACGAACTCTCATGCCTTTCCAAATGATCTGCTTCTTTTTTCTGGCAGCCGCCAGTACGGACATCTTGGCTTTATCCGGTAGGAAGCGAACGATGATGTGTCTCGGTCTGGAGTCCGCAGCTGGCTTCGGAGGTGCTGGCCCCACCCGATGGATTCTGTCTATTTCGTAGTAATCTCCCATCTCAATGTCCAGAGCCTCAGACAACAGATTCTTCACGCAGTCCTCAAGATTACGGCCTTCGGTTCCTTCTCTTTATCAATATCAAAATTACAGGTAAGGAAAAATTCAATGCCACCTAACTTAAACATGAACACAGGTATAGTATTCCAAATGGAAGTAGGATTAGTAATTAATTCTTTAACCAATTTATTTTGAATGTGTTATTTAAAGTGTTAAAATCTAACACATTAAGTCCTCCATTGACATATGAGTTTATAAGAAATGTTTCTTTAATGTAGTGTGTCCTATTTTTCCAGATAAAGTTGAAAAGTAACTTATCAACCTCTTTTATGAGTTTATTATCAAGGTGCAATGCCAATGCAGCGTGTGTAAGACCAGAGATACCTTCACGTCTCAGCTGTTTGTGGAGGTAAAATACGTCTGCACAATTACGCTCAGCCATCGTTGTGAGTGCGCACGCCAAGGGGCGGCGAGACATTTATACAGCCGTATATCGCACAAGACTGTGAAAGGCGGAAGAGGAAGTAGTTCCTTTGAATGTAGACAATCCGAATGTTATAGTTTCTTTCCACTGTGTTCCTGTTAATGATAAACTACAAATTTACTCTAAATTACTAAAATATCGATATTGTAATGTGAGAATCGATTCTAGAACATAAATGATTGGTATCGGAGGAATCGATATTTCAGGATCGACATCACTACTCCGTAACGAAGGCACCCGGCTCTGCTCTAGTTACAGGGAATATTTGAATATTTAGTTACCGAAATATGGTAACTGAAAAGCGAAGGCAAAGAGGGTCAGTTTGCCTAACAGTGTAACAGCAAACCAGCAAGCTTCATGGTATATAAAATTCAACGTCTCTTAAATTCTAATCTGAAAATCATTCTCGGTGCTCTCAAACTAATCCTCACTATTCCGTCACGCTACCGGACACGCGGGTTTTTCACCGCCAACGTATGAAAAACGTGAACGTATGATGACATGAAAGTAAGCATAAAAACATATGCTGACTTACCACGCAGCGCACGGATCCAAACACACACGCGTCTGCGCCTTAAAGTATCAAGTCCAGAAGAAGCAGGAGTACTTCCGGTATACGAAATTGACGCTTTCAAAATAATAAAAAATGACTCCTTAGACATTTCAAAACAAAAGCCAACTTTGTTTGAATTCAGCTTCAACATTAACACATTCAGTCCATAATAACAAATATTAGTTAGTGTTGTTTTCACACTTTAATGCTGGATCCACAGGATACACCCAGGACTCTAGTAGTACCTTAGCCAATATCAAGGCAGTCCTTTTTTGGATTTCAAAGTAAAAGCCCTCTGAACTTTCCTTTCTGAGCTACTCTTTCGAGAATTTCAGAATGCTGTAAAAAGGAAAATTCTAATTTCACTCTAGAACAACAGTATACACCCTCACAGGGCTACCATGTCCGTGTCAAGTAAGTCTGGTTGTGCATTTCAAAGTAAGAGCCCTTTGAATTTGCCTGTATATGCACAACTTCTCAAATGAATTGAGGACACTGTTAAAAGGTTAATTGCTGTTTCCACAGGTTAATTGCAGTATATGTTGACACTATAGACCCTCCCGGTGGCATTTCAGAGTAAAACCCCTTTGAATTTTCTTGGATATGAGCTTTTTTTTAAAAAAAATTAAGTAAGGGTGCTGTTAAAAGAAAAATTACTGTTTCTACAATACGTTGAGTTCATGTCAACCATACAAGTCCTTACAGTGGTACCATGTCAATATGATGTCAGTCTGATTTTGCATTTCAGAGTAAATGCTCTTTGACTTTGTCTGTGTGACCTTACTTTTCAGTGACTTCAGAATGCTGTTAAAAGGAAAATCCCTGTTCTTATGGAATAATTCCACTTTAAATCCATAACATACTGCCTCAAAGCTGCACACTGTCAAAATCAAGTCTTTCTAGTCTTGGATTTAAAAATAATTCCCTTTGTAAATGTTTTTATATGCAGTTTGGTTTCTTTATTCAGAATGATATTACTATGAATTATAAGATACTAGCAATTTCAACTTGATTTTACTTCACCTTTTATGATTTGATTCAGTCATAATCAAATGATTCTGATTTTGTATTTCAAAATGAAAACCTTCTGATATATTTAATATCAAAAGCACTCAGGTCATGTGACAGGGAAGAACTGATGAGTATCAAACATATTTAAGGGTAAAGGTACTGAAATTTAACAACTGATACAACAGAAGACTGGAGCTCAATTGGCAGTTAAAAAGCATGAAGGATGTGTGGAAAGGAATGAAGATAATTACTGTGACTAAGGTGAGAGGCAGTCAGTCAGCAGCCTGAAGAGAGCAAATGAGGTGAACAATTTTTTCGGCTGGTTCAGTTTGCAACTCTACTGGCTCTTCCACCCCACACTCTGGCCTCCAAGCATCACTAATGTCTTTGATTATTCCCTGAGTAAACTTTGTGGCTTTAAACCTGCAAGGAAGGCTACAGGTTATGATGGTACCAACCACAGGGCTCTGCTGACTCACCTACAGTTGCTTGCAAAAGTATTGGGCCCCCTTGAACTTTTCCACATTTTGTCACATTACAGCCACAAACATGAATCAATTTTATTGGAATTCCACGTGAAAGACCAACACAAAGTGGTGCACACGTGAGAAGTGGAACGAAAATCATACATGATTCCAAAACGTTTTTACAAATAAATAACTGAAAAGTGGGGTGTGCATAATTATTCAGCCCCCTGAGTCAATACTTTGTAGAACCACCTTTTGCTGCAATTACAGCTGCCAGTGTTTTAGGGTCTGTCTCTACCAGCTTTGCACATCTAGCAACTGAAATCCTTGCCCATTCTTCTTTGCAAAACAGCTCCAGCTCAGTCAGATTAGATGGACAGTGTTTGTGAACAGCAGTTTTCAGATCTTGCCACAGATTCTCGATTGGATTTAGACACCAGACAGGTCAGGGATAAAGTTATTGAGAAATTTAAAGCAGGCTTAGGCTACAAAAAGATTTCCCAAGCCTTGAACATCCCACGGAGCACTGTTCAAGCGATCATTCAGAAATGGAAGGAGTATGGCACAACTGTAAACCTACCAAGACAAGGCCGTCCACCTAAACTCACAGGCCGAACAAGGAGAGCGCTGATCAGAAATGCAGCCAAGAGGCCCATGGTGACTCTGGACGAGCTGCAGAGATCTACAGCTCAGGTGGGGGAATCTGTCCATAGGACAACTATTAGTCGTGCACTGCACAAAGTTGGCCTTTATGGAAGAGTGGCAAGAAGAAAGCCATTGTTAACAGAAAACCATAAGAAGTCCCGTTTGCAGTTTGCCACAAGCCATGTGGGGGACACAGCAAACATGTGGAAGAAGCTGCTCTGGTCTTTTTGGCCAAAATGCAAAACGCTACGTGTGGCAGAAAACTAACACTGCACATCACTCTGAACACACCATCCCCACTGTCAAATATGGTGGTGGCAGCATCATGCTCTGGGGGTGCTTCTCTTCAGCAGGGACAGGGAAGCTGGTCAGAGTTGATGGGAAGATGGATGGAGCCAAATACAGGGCAATCTTGGAAGAAAACCTCTTGGAGTCTGCAAAAGACTTGAGACTGGGGCGGACAACGACCCTAAACATAAAGCCAGGGCAACAATGGAATGGTTTAAAACAAAACATATCCATGTGTTAGAATGGCCCAGTCAAAGTCCAGATCTAAATCCAATCGAGAATCTGTGGCAAGATCTGAAAACTGCTGTTCACAAACGCTGTCCATCTAATCTGACTGAGCTGGAGCTGTTTTGCAAAGAAGAATGGGCAAAGATTTCAGTCTTAGATGTGCAAAGCTGGTAGAGACAACCCTAAAAGACTGGCAGCTGTAATTGCAGCAAAAGGTGGTTCTACAAAGTATTGACTCAGGGGGCTGAATAATTACGCACACCCCACTTTTCAGTTATTTATTTGTAAAAACGTTTTGGAATCACGTATGATTTTCGTTCCACTTCTCACGTGTGCACCACTTTGTATTGGTCTTTCACGTGGAATTCCAATAAAATTGATTCATGTTTGTGGCTGTAATGTGACAAAATGTGGAAAAGTTCAAGGGGGCCCAATACTTTTGCAAGCCACTGTAGTTGTCTGTAATCTTGAGTAACATTTACAACCTGTTTCTGAAGCAGGAGAAGACACTGCTGTTATGGAACATATTTTGTCTGGTTCCTGTAGTGATGAAGTCAACACCATCAGTGTTTAAGAACTATCAACCAACTGCCATCATGTGTGATAAAGGACGATAAAGGACCGGATGAGAGCATGGTGTCTATCTGGGTGTCCATGCTGAAAACTGGATGAACTGGAAGACCAACACAGTAACAATATACAAAAATAGGAAAATGATTTTCATTGCTATAGTATGTTGTGTTAAAATTATTGCATTATCCATGCTGAAGTTGGGCTTATACTTTGAAATTAAATATCAGATTGACTTGACATTGACATAATACCCCTGTGAGGGTGTTAACTTTTCTATGGATTGCAATCAGCCTGTGGAAACAGGAATTTTCTTTTTTACAGAATTCTGAAGTTGTTGAAAGACTAACTCAAAAAGGAAAATTCAAAGGGCTTTTACTTTAAAGTCCAAAAGATGACGGCCTAGATATTGATAAGGTACTATTAGAGGGTGTGTCCTGTGGATCTAACGTGTGGAAACAAGACTAACTAATATTTGTTATTATGAGCTAAATGTGTTAATGCTGAAGCTGAAGTCAATCGATGCTGGCCCATGTTTTTAAATCAGATCTTGCTTATAATAAGAAGAAATAATCGTATTCTGTAAAAAATGACACATTGGTTAAACAGCTTCAGGACCTGAACAGGTCATTTTGAAATGCTCTGACATCAAGTTAATCATGATACATTTGCAGTGTTACACTTAAAAGTATTGTGGTGTCTTCAAAGTCTGAAAAGAAAATAATAATTTTCTGTGTTTTTATTAACTTCTTGTTTTCTTTTACATACATCAAAGACTAAAGACATTTTTAAGCACTTAAAACCTTCCACTCAGTGAGGGTCCAGCCCTCAGTGTAACCGTACTACATTAAACTCAGAGTTTTATGTGAGACAGGTATGGCTGGATGAACTGTACAGTTAGTCTCCAACAATAATTTACAAAAACATTATTTGACAGTCACTTTAGGCTAAGGCGGGCATGTTTTTGGTGTCTCGTGTGTCAGCGTGCCACTGGCTCTCAACTAACAGCAACAGCCCACCAGTGTGCTGACCGTGGTGCTGAAACAGAAACTGAGTTGACAGTGAGGTCTGAGCTCCTGAGGTTTACAAAGCAACATGCAGAGGTCTTTGAGAGGAACTTAATGAGGAACTTATGGAACTTTGTTTATTTCGGAATCAAAATATGCTTAATAATAAAGCGAAATATATTCTTTTTTTCTTGCCAAATCTGCATTTCTGGCTAAAAATAGATGAGATGTGTTTCTATATTTAGATCACTGTAACACACGATCTTGTCTCACACAGTTTGTGGGATCTACAGTCCCCATCTGCGGTTTATCTCCCGTATATGAATAGGACAATTTCGGCAGACCACACATTCTGTAATTAGAGGGTTGCATACTGACATACTGTAAATGTCACCTTATAAGCGTACATATGTGGTAAACCTCACGCTCCCTTCTGAGTGTTTTTCAGCATGGGGAAGTACTGTGTGTAGTGGGAGTAAGGGTTGCTAGAAGGGTAGACAGGGAGGAAAGAAAGGAGAGAGAGAGAGAGAGAGGAAGGAAGGAGGGAGGGAGAAAAAAAGAGAGATTCGCGTCATCCTAACACGCAATCATTGGTGGGAGAGGAGGAGGAGAGTCCCTGCACTCTTACTGCAAAGGGTTTCCTGCAGTGCTAGAAAAGGGTTCTTTAGCCCTGCATTCATTCATTTAAATCCAGCCTGTGTGTTTTAGATTTCTCCCTTTATATAAGAATTTTGATTCATAATCTTTCTGTCACTGTATTTTTTCTTTTCTGTTCTGTATGAGAAAGCCTGGAAATAACAATGGAAGAAACAGCATCGCTTAGATTTGGAGCCATGGAAG